GGATCACTATGCCAGGGATGTGGATGAACAAAGTGAAGAAGGCTGTTTGCTAAGCGGGTATTTTTCTTTCTACAAGATCAACATATTGCAACAAAAGCAGTACCTTTCCATATTGTGAGATATCACTAGGAGAAAGTGTATTACAAATAAGGTAGACTTTAAACACATTTTAAGCCTCCACAGAATAAAAATATGTTGGATTATTAATCTCCTCAAGACCTGCACTTAAAGAATACAACTAAAATCTGTCCTTTTAATCAAAGTCTCTTCATTTCCAAATCAGTCTTAAATTCAGTACATGTGTTTTGCATTATTTTCAAAACTGTCTTCTCCAACTCAGTCTTTTCTGTTTGAAATCTTGTCCTCTTCTGGCTGTTGTTGAACTTGCCCATCCCAAACTCAATTCAACTTCTCATTTTCCTTTTTTAACCTAACATTCCTCTTCTACTTTTTCTGTAATGAATACACTATTACTGGTTCTCCCATCTTCTACTTTTTCTGTAATGAATACACTATTACTGGTTCTCCCATCTACTTTTTCTGTAATGAATACACTATTACTGGTTCTCCCATCTTCTTTATATCCTATCTTCATGTGAACCCACTCACTCCATGTTATTTAGTTCTTATTTATGATTCCTGATGGCTCACAAACCACCTTTTACACTCTATTCTCTATTCTCACAAACCCTTTCTATTCTGCTATCCAGACATTATAATAAAGTTCTATGAAGTGACGTACTTCCAAATCTGTATCTCTGCCCAGTTCAATAATATATTAGCTAGTTTTAAAACTCCACAGAGCTCTGGCTGAGTATGTACTCTGGTTGAGCTGCTATATTTGACAAGTAAACCCTTGTATTTACTGCCTATGTATGAATTTAGAATGACAGTCATGAGAAGTTTATTATTAAGGAATAGAGTTTTGACCTTCTTGGCCACAGAGTACATATTACATTTTTGTGTCAAAAACAAGGAGATGATAGTTTCTGACAGAGTTTTTAAGAATCATCAGAGAATATTCACCTTTATATATGCCATTGTATCCTCCATGGACTTCGCCAGAACTGGAGATTTCTTCAACATGAGCCCCTTGGTCAGATGTAAAGTACACAAGAGTTTTGTTACCTACATTATATTTTTCCAGCACATCCAGAATCTGCCCTAAAAAAAAAAAATGCAGAACAAAAAGAACAGCTTTAATGTCTTCAAGTGGCTTTTTTCATTAACCTGGGCATGTACAAATATTTTTGTCCTTATGCCTTTTTAAGATAGTTTTCCATACAAACTTTATTACACATAGCAATTGGCACCGTGCAGCATGCAGTAGGGGGCAATTGCACAAGGCTTGTTGCAATCAGGACCATGGTTCGATTGCTGCAGGGTTACTTGAAGTATAAAATGAGAAGATTTGTGCACATCAGAGAAAAAGGCTGATGCACAGAGAGCCAGTGACCTTTGGAAGCAGTTGCTCTCAATCAAGGAAACCCCTCAGCAAGAAGATTCAAATCACTGAGGATATCTGAAAGAGTCTCAGCATGCAGAACAGAGCTGAGTTTGGGGGTAGCTTTGCTGCCTAGCAACCTATAGAGGCAGCATTGCAAAAATCTCAGTGTGAGTGTTAGAATAAGACATTCTAACAAAAAAAAGGAAGTTAATGTATGGAGTGCCTCTGAAGACCACATGGTTTCATTATCAAACCTACTAATTAATCCCTAATTTCTCATCATATAAGAATAGATATCAACTAAACTCAAAATGTGCAAGGTAATAAACACACACACATGCACATATTTAAAAGAAAAATACATATGGATATGCTCTGAAATTCCAAGGCACTGTGGGCTCACATTTCATTTTCACAAAGGGCTCCTCACACTACCTTGGCACTGTGAAGAGCCTGGCAGTGCACATAAATTACATTTAAACCTATTTAGACTGAGTTCTTTAAAGAGGCTTTCTGTATGAATGAGAGTGAAGTTGCTCTTTGTAACTTGCTCCAGTGAATTTTATACTGATTAGGAATCTAAAATTATTGGTCCTGGAAACCGACCAAAGTATAAGAATATACTTCTTCACATCCGCCCGCAAATGAGCTTTAACCTTATCCTTTAGGGATCCCAGAGCATATAAAGATAATTCTGTCTTCACAATCTTTTTATCTTTGTTCTTTTTACTTAAACATCCAAGGATGGTCCAATTTGAATGTTAATTTTGATTTGCTCACCTGTCCACTAAGAATTAATTCATCAGTTGATGCCTAATTATTGTGTCAAAGAGGATAAGAACTTTGAAATACAGAGCCTTCTTTAATGATTTTCAGTTCATCATTTCTGTTATTATGCTCTTTTTTTTCTGGATAAGAACTAGTTACCTTACCTTTTTGCTACTATAACTACTTGTCTTTTAATGTTATAGCACTCTAAAATTGCCTTGTTAAAAAGGTTGACTCTCTTCATTTTTCATCAGCGCAGATGACTGGGTCATGAATAAAGGAACATCAGCAATTAAGTAAGTGATACCCATTGGTCTTGTTTGTAAACTAGGAGCAAAGAAGAAACGTAGGAGTAGGAGAATTTGTTTATGTAAATCTTGAAACCTCATGGGAGTTGAAATTTCCCAACAGAGCTGAGGAAAAGCTGTTACAAAGGCTGACATTTTAAAGTCAGTGGGTTGAGGGAAAAATCATGCATCTGACAAGCCATTCGCATGCTGCAGCAGGTGTACTTAGTGCCAGGAAAGAAAGAGGCAATTTTGCATTGGTTTCTGAGATTGTTTGGAGAATGTACTTGCTAAGTAACTACAATATCTCTTGGAAAGGTGGCAATAATGATATAAAAGTGGAGTATACAGATAAATTAGGATATTATCTGTGGGTATTCAGCCACATGACCTCCAGAGTTCTCTTCCAACCTGTATCAATCTATGATTTCCTGATTCTGTGATAATAATAATAAATAGGATTGCACAGAGAAATATATGTGCAATGACATACACAAATGCATTTTTTTTACCTACACGGTTTTGCTTAGTGAAACTGAATGTTCAAATTCGTCCTGTATATAAACCAAAATGAAAATAAAACAAGAATTCTACTTAGTATATCACATTAAATGATGTCTGGCAATCAGAGACATCTGCTGTCATTCAATAATGGCCATTTTGATTTCTGAATTAATCTGGGAAAAAATGAGAAGGAATGAAAAATGTCTCACTATCATAATTAATTAAATAAAGCAGTCATCATTATGATGACTTTTTTTTCTGAAACAAGCTTAAGTAGCTTGACTTGGCCTGGAACAAAAAAAAAATCTGACACCCAAAGGTTACCCATATCAGAAAAAAACACCCCATTAAAATGCATAGAAGGTCTCATCCAAAGCTTGTTGAACTCAGCAGTAAAACTTCCATTTCCTTCATTTGGATTATTAAACACAAAGAGGATTGGCTACATTAGGGTTAATTAGCAAATACTAAAATGGTAATTTGTTCTAGCAACAACATTTTTCAGTAGAGATGGACTAATACTAGTAATTTAAATAACACTATTGTCAGAGAATGGAAATCACAATGCACTTGCAGAAATGAAGCAAAACTTCCATTTCTATTTTCATCTTCAATACTGACACCTTCTAGAATTAAAATTATAAATAATCAATAAAATGTGTGCTACCAGGAGATAAGCCCCATTAAAGTATATTTGAATGATGTTGCTACTGTTAACATAAGCAATACATTCACATATTAGCATTTCTAAATGGTAACCAAGAAAAATGCAAAGAATGTATTGTGCATCTCTATGAACAGGTATCTTTCATGTGCAATATTGTATCAGTTTTGGAAACAAATACTAAAAAGTAAGCAAAATAAATCCCTTACTGTTTTCTTGTAATAATTTAATTTCTTTTTTACTCTAACTCCTCCACTCTTATTATTTCTGTAGATTTCACAGAGACTTTAGATTTAAGTTATAATTGATGTATAAACATTCCCAGGCAATGTCAGTTAACGAACAAGGAGGAGTTTCATCTAGCCTACTTTAGCTGCCTAATTTTGGAAGAGATGAATCACAATGGCAAAACGGACTTTTTTACCTGTTGACTAAAAAAGAGTAGACAGGCAACTAGCTCAAAATTAAATGCCTTCATATTGGACATCAAGGACAGTAAGATGAATCCCACCCAAAGTGCTAGACATGCAACTACCTGAGCAACGCACTTAAATGAGTGTGGTGAACAGATAAATGACATCTGAGTAAGAGAAGATGGTAAAACTGTATTGCTTCACCACAAAATATGACTGGAAGAGTATCATATGTCATGTGCTCTTGAATTACAAGAATGGGGCTTCAGCTGGCTTAGTATCCCCTTTGAGTCCCATTGTTGGTTGCAAAAGCAATATAAATTTTAAAAGACTTTTTGGATGTAACGAGTTTATACAGAATACAAAACTGTAGGATAAATAATCCAGAACACTGGGAAAACTGTAGCTCTGTTCAAGCAACAACAGATTGCTAACACCAGTGTAGGAAACAATCAATAAAAATGGAAGGATTCTTTATTGAAAGGACTCACTTGAAAGCCATGTTCTAAAAATCTGCTGCACTGATCTCTGTGGATGCTACCGTATACATTTTTTTCTGATATGAACAGAACAGATTTGGAAAGACAACATTTCTGAACAATAAAATCAATCTAACACTGAAGGAGCTGCATAATTTCTGAAGCTATTTAGCAACTAGAATTTCAGATCAAGTTTCTCCTACTACTGCCATTCTAGGAATGTATACCCCAACATAGGCAGCTAACATTGTAGCAGACAAAGGCATGGGATCATCGGACAATTTTCTTTTATCTGTCTTTTTTAAGATACAAAACAGATTAAGGACAGCATTAGGATATTACTTGTTTTAATTAGTACATCAATGCTCCAAAATTTAAGTAAAGCTTCCTCTAACATATACTGAGGACTGCTCTCTACATTCACAGAATCACAGAATGGCAAGGGTTGGAAGGGACCTCATGAGATCATCTAGTCCAACCCTCCTGCTAAAGCAGGTTCACCTAGAACAGGTTGAACAGGACTTCATCCAGGTGGGCTTTGAATATCTCCAGAGAAGGAGACTCCACAATCCCCCTGGGCAGCCTGTTCCAGTGCTCTGTCACCCTCAAATTAAAGTTCTTCTGCATATTCAACTGAAACCTCTTATGTTTCTGTTTGTGCCCGTTGCCCCTTGTCCTGTCGCTGGGTCTGCTCTCCACTCTTGCTTCAAGCTATGTTAAATTATAAAGAATTGTTTCATTCCTAAAGTGAAAATGCCAATTTCAGTGAAGTGATAGCCATATGAAAGTGATAAGAGCAATTGACTCTGTTCTTTAGAAGGAAACCAAGAGTGCCATGCCACTATTCAACTTCTCTAACACAGCATGAATGATAGCTGAACCAGCCTCTCTAATGCTGACTGTAATTTATGGATCTTTGACCCACGTAAAATTCCTACTGTACTCATCTACATTAAGATATAGTGTTCATAAAAAATGACTATTCATTTGAAAACAAGGTACAAACACTGAAAAACAATAACGTGTTTACAAATGTGTTAGTGATTTGGAAAATTGTTCAAAGTTTTAGCCAAGCAAGCACATGAACAAATGCGTTTGATTCATAAATCAGCTTACTGTCATTTGAAGTTAATAGAACAGAAATGCTATTTGTATTAATTTGAAATAATTTAGTCATGCTGAAATCATCAGTACAAAGCTCTAGAATACAGAATATTTGTGTAATCAAGGCATTAGGACAAAATAGTCTCTCTATTCATGAGGAAAGCTTTCAAGCAGTTTGCAGGTTTGAAAAAACAACAGGATTCAGAAGGAGGGTTAAGGCTCTGTCTCAGGACAAGACAGTTGACAATAAACGGAATTCCTGTCAATATAATATTCTTTTCCCACTCCAGCAGACTTCCACACACCTCTGTTGTATCCTGAAGGTTACAGGTAAGCTTGAGACAATTATTGGACAAAGAGTGATCTGAGAAGATCAGCCATCACATCTCTGCCTAGAAGAGGCAGTTTGTTTCTTTGGGTTTTTTTTTATTCACTGCTTCAGAATTCCCTACTGATACTGTTTGGTTTTGAATAGCATCAGTAACCAGAATCACAACT